TGCCAGAGTTTTGTGGGGTGCTACGGCTTCAGGAGTTGTCACCATTTCCAATTTGGTTTCTGATTGTTCGTTGAGACCGCAGGCGATCTCTGTCGCGGCCACAGTATGTGAGTGTTAATGGTACTTTTATGCAGCTTCCAATTATGATGATGATGAACTGTGAAACGTGTACTTTTCAGCCGTCACGTGGCTGTTCAAGAGTTTGACGTCTAGTGCATTATTTAGGGGGTGGAGGATATAATAGCCCACCGGCAGCTGTGGTGTGATGTGTACCCTCGAATGGTTCCACAATGATTCGTTAGTGGCCAGTGGGTATCACGTGCTGCTGTTACTGCTGCTGCTATTGCAACTGACGCGCTGATGGAGCTGTTCGAATGCATTTAATCATCCCTCTGACGTGGTTCGTCTTGATGGAGTGATGTGGAGCTGTGAAATGCGCAGCTGGCTAGTTCCAAAGACCGAGCCGACTGGGAGGCCACTAGCCGTGCATCTTTTCAATCTCGCTCTTCCTGGTTGCTAACTGGACGAAATTGCGTCCTACGTGCTACGTGAGGCTCTTCGAATAGTGATTTTGCTGTGCCGATGGTTTCTTATCGGGTTGATAACGAAGGTTATGCTGGTCTAATAAAAGGCGGTCATTGAAGGTTCTTCTGCTCGAATGTTGGCTGTGCTTGGTTAGTATTTCTCTAGAAAGAGGGAGGAGCTCTTAGTTTTGCTCTCTATGCTTTTTACCAGTCTAACTTACTTCAAAGAATCTGGGAATCTTCGGATTTCAACCGGTTTTTATAGCCCAGGCATCGTGTTCCTATCTGATTGTCTTCTCTCCGTCCAGTATTGATCGCTGCGCTGGTGGCCGAACCAACGACCACTTTTTCTAGAACACCTCGAACCTGTATGTGACGCCACCTGTACTCACTAGCTTGTCAAGCTGGCCTTATTCCAGGACCTCCAAGTAGGGTTCATCATTGGAACAGACGAAATGGAGGTGTCATTTCAACCCCCAGCCTTCCGTCCAATTCGCCCCTTCGATACGACCTCTATCATAACTAGGACATGTCCTGCCACACGAAAAAACCTTCACAGAATATCCCCCACCCCTTCCCCTTTCTTCGCTCAGCATTTCTTCCTCTGGTGCCACGTCCTTCCCATTCTACCTACCGTCCTACATTTCCAGCTTCTTATCAATCCTACCACTTCCACTTTCTCCGAAATTCCTCCCATTTCCTCCCAAGATACTGGGTGGAGGTGAGGGGGAGGGGGTACATAGCGTAGTTGAAACAAAAGAACTGACAAAAGTCAATAACCGAGGAAGTTTTTCTCGAAGCCTCCCCCTCCCTACAACGACCTCTCCCCTCGTTAGGGATCCCCAACTTATGGCGTGCTCTGGACGTAACCTGTCTGTCTTTCCCAAAACGTCGAAGGAGTGGGGATAACTACCTGGTACCTATTTCGGAAGCAGTAATTTTTGCCGCGCCAAAAATGATGACGGGGATATGGCGTGAAAGGGGAAAATCAGCATCTGGCAAGAATTCGAAGGCCCATATCCCCTTGCCTTCCTCCAGCGAGCGAGGAAATACGGCCTCATCTCATGAGTGTTCGCAGGACGATGACGTACCTTTTCGAGTTCCTTGTGTCTTTTAGCCCACGAAGTGCCCCTTTTGAAGCACCCTGTTCGACGTTTGGCACTTTATATCGTTCCCAGGCACATTTATATCATTTTTATTGCTACTAAAAAGAAGATTTGGCTCGTTCTGCATCGTTGTCATTGATTTTCAGACGTTTAAGATTTCCATGTCATTAATTGCAGATGATGGAAGAATGCCAACTGCGTGTCGACGACCTTCGTCGTCGTTTAGATGAATCGCTGGCAGCGTTTCACCGGTCGACAACACTTCGTGAAACAAAACCGCGCGCTCTTCATATCGTACGGCAGAATAATATGGAAACTCTGATTGAGATCAGCAACGTAAGCAGCTTTATACAAATGCTTTTATGGATTTTTATGGGAGTTTAACGGGGGCGGACAAGACAATCGTAATCTGTCGCGACGTCGCATGCGGTGTCGTGAGGCGATGCGCGGCAACTTCTAGATGTGGATCAGTTTGTCGACTGAAGCAGCGAAACTCATCTAAATTCTTATGGAGATTAGACTGCATTAGAGGCAATACAGTTCCATCCCTTCATTACATCATCATCATCATCATCTCAGTCATTGGAACGGTCAGAGTGGACAACTCACCGCCGGGCGCGGCGGCGCTCGCCACGCCCACCAGAGGGCATGTTACGATTGTCTTGTCACATACCGTTTCAAACATGTGAAATACTTCCTATACGATCGTAGATTATAACCCGACGTTCAGCCAGTGACCTTTCTTGACTTCAGATTGCACCTTTGTTTCCAGCCTGGAGAACGTGCACGTTTTGATCGTTTAATGGCGTCGTCGCCTTTGAATGTGATCTGCTGCAACGGTGCTACTCCGGCTGTCGCCACGAGTCCTGCGGATTCCACAGATTCGGGCGTCGCGGTTTCACCTCTATCGTCTCCTGTGAGTGGCGCCAAACATTCGCCATTCTATCAGTACTCGGGTAAGTGATAGCACGTTGTTTTTGTACCAAAGAAACTTAAGATTTTGCCAATGACTAATTCCCCGTTGGGGATGCGCCACGCGTTCTCCCTTCAATAAGAATCCTAGTGGTTCTTTTTTCAGTCCGATATGACGTGCATAATGACTTGCGAGGACCAGCCTATGAGCAGAGAAAAACCGTTGAGAAATGGGAAATGTTTGGAGGGGGGGGGAAGAGGTAGCTCAGCTTCCGTTTCGCACGTGCTGTTAGATAGAAGCCGAGCAGAAGCATGCTCCTCATCGCAAAGTTATACATGCGCATGCTTGGTACCAGGCTCATGGGGATGGGCCTGCACGTCCTGTACGGGATGTGTCCCCTGGACCGGTTCCCGCCTGGCCAATCGCGTGGTGAACTGGTCAGTTTTCACGGCACAATATCCGCTCTTCTTAACAGATACTGCGCAGAAAATCAATATTGATCGTATTGCAATTGCGCATTCCTGGATAATAAGTGCAAATTTGACTACGGGGTGCCATGCCTACTGACAGGTGCTACTTGGCTTTCCAGCTGAGAACAGTAAGAGAAACACTTGGCTTTCCAGTTGAGAACAGTAAAAGAAACAATCTACAGCCCCTGCCCCCCCCCTTTCAACTAAGGCCCGGTAGGTTCACAGCGCTTGGAAGAGCATGTGGTGAATAGAGACGGACGAACATGGCAAGAGACCAGATTAGCGCGGGTAAGAGCCACTTAGGCCCACTCATTGAAGGGCGGAAAAATCGCCGCAACGCCAGTCAGCAGTCATACGTTTACTGATACATATGTCTGGTATGGGTGGGAAGGTTTCCGCCCATTATGAGCCCCTAGCGTCCTCTCTTATGAATTTTCGGATGGCGATAGTAACATACCTTGAGCAGCGGTGGAATTCCGCCTCTTACAACGAAAGCATCTCATGGCTGAGGTAGACGCAAAGTGTGACTTTAAATTCACGTCATTGCCCTTCCTCCAGCCATAGCAGAACGGCGATAGATGTTGTAAAGAGGTCGTAGAGAGAAATATTTGTCGGGAATGAGGAATTCGTGTGCTTACTGTTTTTCCGACCAGTCAACATTCCAACAGGTGTTTTTCGTTGCAGAACAAAGTCGTATTGGAATGCGGCAGCGTTCTGCAAGTGAGTGTGCCGACTGGGACGGCATTGTACTGAAAAGTATTCTCAAAAAACCTCAACGAAGCGAGCGATTCTCGAGGTAACGATCTAGTTTTTTCCGCTTTTTCGCTGACGATCTTAGACAGTTGAATGTTCAACGTTTCTCCAGATCTATCTCGGAATCTCATCATTTCACATCGGAACCTATGCACCTTTCGTTACTGATGGAGTCGACTACAGAAGTTGACGAGAGCGATGCACATACCGATCATGGTACGGTCATCCTTGTGCTTATGTGCAGTTCGATGACGAGGAGGGGCATTTGCACTTTTGCTGCTTCACTAGTTCCGGTTTACAAGTCTCACTCTGGTGAAACCTGTGAACTCTTGTGAAGCTGGAGCAAGCTCGTCGAGTCCACCATGGTGAAACCTGTCAAATCTTGTGAGCTCATGAAATAGCTCTTAAGACGGCTTGACATGTCGATGGGAAGCAGCAAAAGTCGCCAAAAATGCCCCCCCCTCCCCATCGCCGAACTGACCCTCTAGGTTTTCAACCGGTATTCAGTAATGTGATCTGCACGATTTCGTTTCAGAAAGTCAAATGGTCGTGGAACGAAAGAAGCGAGTTTCATTCAGTGAAAAAGTGCAAGAACGACGTTTCCGTGTCGGACAATGTATTCTAACGGCTGCGAAGAAGAGTGAAAGAAAACGGGCTTACAGAAAACGTAAAGAGGAAAGACAACGCAGTCTTAGTGAGGACGAGCAGAGTCAGTTAGACTACTTGCAGGTAACTCCAAGGTTTTTGCTTTCATCCCTTGTAGGGTGTACAGCGATGTAAGAGGTTTTGTGACGTCAGGGGGAGTCAACAGGAGGAGGATAAATTCAGCGTAGTACGAGAGCTATTAGTTGTAGCACCAGGTGCGGGGAATGTGTGGAGGGTAGTCAAATTTGGCCTGAAGATTTTTCAATATTTATATTTTCTTGTTTAGCGCGTCGCTTTTCAACTTGGGCGGGGGAGGTAAGGGGATGTTGTACGAAGAGGAATTAGGGGAGGGGCTTATTCTGCAGAAATTTTCCCCAGTGACGGAAGGTGCCCCGTTAGGAAGAGACAAGGCGGACAAAGAGCGTATGGTATCTTTTAGTGGGTGTACGTCCAAGGTAAGGGGAGGTTTCTAATGAAAGGAGCCCCGTTGCAGCAGCCTTACGGGATACTTGTACTCGGGCCCCTCCGAGCTTGGCACAGCCACATTACCGTCCTATGCACCACTTGGCGTTGTCGCTCTTACGGAGATTCTCGGCACCCTTTTCCCGTAGTATGTGCGTTCTGGGCCCCGGGACTTTCTGCTCACAGAAAACAAGACAGAAAAATCATGGGCATACTCACAGGCGTTTTCCTCCCCCTACCTGAGCACCCTAACCCCCATTTTTTGGTCCGCCTAAGTCGAATCTCGTTTCCCGGCTCCCGCTCCTGATCTTTTTTATGTGGAATTTTACTTTGTAGTTGAGAGGGTTGTAATGTTTTTTTTTCAGAATTGCGAGGCTAAAGAGAAGGAGACCTCTTGCGGGGACATTGACGCTGAAGGTGAGATAATTTCTTATTTTTACTTCACAGATCTCTGTTATTTTATTTTTATTTCCTGATTTACAAAAGTGCCATAGTACTTTCATGCGGAACAGAACGTTTCTATTATATTCAATTTGATTGCGGATATAGAGCAATTAGTGGTTGTTTTCTCGAATGAATACGGGGTACAGTGACCCACCAGTGCTTAAACAAAGACTAGCAATTCTCTGTGAGATTCTGATTAGCTTTAAAGGATTTCAATAATCCACTTGAGGCAGTTCTTGATGTATCAAACTAATATTAAGATAATCCCCTCCCATTCGTAGTCAAAAGTTGCTGTGTGTAGTTCAAGCCTTATTGACTTAACTCTTCAGAAAAACCTGGCCTTCGGTCGGAACGCCAAGATAGCGGTTTTGTTGACGGTGACGAGAATGACTACGTGGACGATGAAGAGAAAGAGGCATTTCCACCGAATGGGACTCTAATTAGTCCTGAAGATCGTTGGAAGAATATTGTGCGTCAACAAAGAGAAGTAAGTAGTCAAATTTTGCCACTGGATTAGTGGCTATGCTTGATTAGTTACTTATGGAAGAGGTTAGATTGGGTCCAGAATATCTTTTGGGAACATGGGAGGTTACCCACAGTTGTGAGTTACCAGTGAGTGAGGTGGGGAGTTACCCACCTTTATTTGTTGAAGCGTATAAGTGGAAGATAGCCACCGTTTTTCAAAACCAGTGTGACAGTGTGACACTTGAGGGCACAGTCCACGCTGACCGTTTGGGCCAAGACAGTCTTCAGTTTGTGCTTTCCTCATTGGTGCGTCCCTCCTTCAAGGCGGGTAAAGAGGAGGGACGCGTCATTGAGGAAGACATAAAGGTCTATTGTGGCATCTACGTGATCAGTGGAACTCTGCCTTTGAGAGCAAAAATAGTGAGGAAGACACCTGCTTGTCACCTCATGCTGTAGTCGTGGGTTTGTCTAGCGCTAAAATAGAAGCTCTTTGACTAGACATTATTTGATCGCGCTTTACCAGTATCTCTTTCCCGTAGCTATGCGTTCCATATCGCTGCGTAGCATGTGAAACTATTATAATATCTACTAGAGAGCCCCCCCCCTCTTCCTGAAGGAGAATAGTCTTCTTGTTGCTTAATCCGCTCTTTCATATTTTGCGACTGAGGAGATTTAGCTTTTTGGGAAGTTTGGCGTGTGAGGGGTTGTACGACGAAGATTGTGTTGTTAGCGATCTAGCGACTACGGTGGTGGAGCGATCTGGGGATTTGGAAGACTTGGCCTTTAAGCGATTGCGCTCCAAGAAGGGTTGGAAACGGTAATCGCATCGGCGCTGGTCGCTAGCAATGAACTGCACGGGTAAACTTCAGTAGGGCGAACAATCGTTACACCGTATCCCCAGCATGAGCACGCTAATAAATGGGTGCACACCAAACACATCATCTCACGACAGAACGTCGAAGTTGCATGCACAATGCACGTATGTGTTGTGGTTGCTATCGTACGAGCATTTTTGGACGTTTTGGGCGAGAAGAATAGCATGGCTATCGATCTGGCATCGACACATACACTATAGTTTTTGCTCAAAACGCTAGCATTCCGCTGATAAGTTTCAAAACCCTAGGTCGATAGCTAACGTTCCTTTCGCCCGAAACGCTCAAATGCAGACGAGAATTATGAACGCAGCTCACCGCAACCTAGTCCGAGTAGCTTTGTTTGATTCTCATTGAATAAAAATCTGTTTAGATTTTGAAAACAACACAACTGCATCGGAATGAGAAAGTTTTTGCCTTCCACACTAGTGAACGAAAGTTGTTGCACTACGCAGAAGTTTTTCTCCTCATTTCAGCACCGCTCCTCGATGGCTCGAGTAGTTGAGGTTTCATATGCGAGCTTATTTTTGAAGCTGTGAACAGAGCTTGTTGTGGCGGTTCAGTAGCGGTTTTGTAGATTGCAGACGAGACGAATAGTCCCACCGTTTATCTTGGTTATACAAGCACAGGGTTTGGGGCTACGCCCACGCCTCGAAGAGTTGGATGCGGGGATTAGGGGGAGAGGGTCATGGCCATCGTGGCGATGACGGAGCTGAGTTTGGATCTCGTACTACTGTATTTTGTTCAAAAAAAACTATGCATGTCATCAGTATCGCGGGAAACCAACAGGAGGCAAGCAGGCACTGATAAACACAAGACAAGGAGGCTATACTGTTATCAGAACCATGTCTAAGAATGTGGCTAATTGAAACCACTACTTGAACATGGAAAGAAGCAGGGCATTAATCACAGCATCGCATTCATTTTTTCATTAATCATAATCAACGCATTCAAGCATTAAGCAGGCATTGCGTGACCTGTGAAGGAGAAAACATGCAAAACTATTTTGTTGTACCATTTTAATCAACTTCGCGAAAGTCGTGACACTTCCATCTGGAAAATGCTTCAACAAGATGCCTCAGAAATGTGTAAAGACTCCGCCGCGATGCTATGAGAAATTCTGACCCAACGCGGACTATTTTTGATGAGTGCCGTTGAAACCCAATTGTACAAGTACATTTATGAATAGAAAAATGATTTATTGGAGCATCCAACGGACCTATAGTTCTTACGAGCACTACTCCATGCAATCGTTCTAATCACATGCAATAGTTCTAATCCTTTGGATATCCTTAGCATCGCAACAACTACTTCCCCAAGCGATTTCTACGCTGTTGTCGTGAGATACTGTGTTTGGTGTGCATCCAGATTTATTTACGGCTCATTTGGGATACGGTGTACGATTGTTCGCCTACTGAAGTTACCGTACTGTGCAATTGAGGGATTAGCGATCCGGCGATTCGGGAGACTCGATGCGTCATTTTGGGATACGGCCGAGTCTACAAATCGCAGGTTTGCCGACCTTTCGCAATCACTAGCGACCGACAGAGATCGATACCCATCCACCCCTCGGGCGCGCAATCGCCGAAGACGCCGAGTCCTTCAAATCGCCTGATCGCTTCCACAGTCACCAGATCGATAACTATACTTTCCTCGCCGCTCAGATTCTCGAATCACCAAATATCCTCAGTCGCGAAGTATGAACGCGACCTTTTCAATTTCGCCATAGCCCCTTTGATAATTGTAGTCTTTTCAGGTTGCTACTCATTAAATCGTTGAAATTGTATCGGACGTGAACTACTCAGAGAGATGAGTCTCAAGGCACTGTGTGTACATAAGCGCTGTATAGAATCTGCTTAATTATCAATTTCTACTTCTATATCCGTCATTCCGGGATTTGCCCATTCCTCTTTTTTATATGTTGTAATTAAGTTGTAAATTAATTGTAGTCGAATGTGTTGATTCCCGGATAGTTGAAGCCTTCTAGTAACGAGAATTATCCACCGGGTTCTTTTACAGTTCAACCAATTTGCGTGTGTGTGTCTGCGTGTCGTTTTTTTTATAGAAAGACTTGATGTGTAGATAGTATATTTAGAGTGTTTTATTATATCAATAGTGATGTAGATCTTTTATAACATCGACTTAGATATTGTACTATCCATGTCCCGAACAGTTTCACTTGAAATATTGCAGTTATCGATTTGATTCATTGGCGCCGCACCGCGACCGCTCGCGTCACAGCTCGACCATTTCAAGCGAAATTGTTCAAGGGACATGAATTGTGCTCGAGTTCAGCTGTGAGGGAGTTGAGCGAATAGTTTGCTCCTATCCAAGCAGTTTAGTGTTCAGATAATTCCGTCAAGTGTTGTGTATATAAGTGTGAGTGTTGTCTGCCGTAGTTGTTAGAGAAATCTCTCATAGTTGGATGTCGTCATCGTAGTAGATCACATCGCTCTGTATAATTTAGCCTTTTTTTATTGTCAAAAATGCGTGTGTAAGTGTATTCGGAGTTCCTTCTTCATTAATCCTCATATACCTTGATGTTGATTTGTCGTTATTACTTCTTTTTCTTATAATCATTATTTACTCTCGTCATCATTATTTGTGTGCATCATTTAGTTGTGTTTTTGTGTCATCTCTTTATTATTATTTTTTTCCAAAAATACTAAAAATTCACGAAAATCTACAAAAAATACGGGGGAGATTGGGCGTGTACCGTTTGTATATATACATTGTGACAGTGTACCGTGTGTCTGATATTTTACGTTTTCGGTGTTAAGTGGATGTGTGGGCATCTGTCTGTTCAGCTGTCGGTTTGTCTAATCTGGGAAGGATGGGAGGTCGAAATGGCCGTTTGAAATGAGATGGATAGCGTCTGATGCGTCCTTGGAGGGCTTCGTCTTTCGTATCCGCTGCGGCCTCTCCGAACGGAGTTACGGGGGCTCATTTAGGGGGCTATATCCACACTTAATATGAATTTCGGGTCTGAGGATGCTTCGAAGTGGCACCATAACATAACGGTTGGAGCACTGTCTACTGCGGACGCTGGAGCGTGTCAGGGGAGTTGGACTAGGCGTGGCCCCAACTCATTTCCCACGAATCGTTGTCGCTTGAAGCTTCAACAGCTAGTGGAGAAAGGGCTGGCTCCTCGCCAGATTCGGCCCCTCTGACACGCCCCAGCATCCGCAGTGGACAGGACTTGAACCGTTATGTT